CAGCGCCATTGGGACGTCATTGAAGAAGTCTTCGTCGTCGTCGTCGGCGCGGTTGGGGGGCTGATGTGAGGGCCCAGCAAGGCCATCTGCGCCCCGGGTATTGTTTTCTCTGCCCCGATACATGGTATTCCGTTATCCAAGAAGTTAATGGCAGAGAATAAGGATGGGAGGTTTGGAAGCCTGAGCCGATGCAAGATCTACGGAGTATGGAATCGAAAAGCACTTTAGCATCGGTGTCGCGCTTTTGGCTGCCCTAAAGACACTCGTGACCGACGCGGCAGCACTGTCTTCCTGCAATTCTTCTCTTTTGCTTTCATCATCTTACCACATAGGTGAGTACGTCTAATGTTTTCAGTCATATTATATTATGAGGCTAATATCAGAGCCCTTGATATTTGGAAACTAGCCTATACATGATTTCCACGCCTTCTGTTGCTCCTGCGCTTTACCAGATCCAGGAATGCCCAGAGTCTCAGCCCATCGGCATTTTGATACCGTCTGGCAGCTAGCATGGGATTCATATCTGAAATCCCCTATTTCCCCTATATATTTTTTGTTAAGGGTATAAAGCGCTCTTCAGTGCCAAATCAAATGCTCTAGCTCATCGTCAGAATCCCCTCGCCTTCTGAGCTCGTCGAGCTTGCGAGCACTGTCTACGCACTGCACGTCGTGCTAGTATATGCCAGCCGCTCTCCCTCGCGACCTTGCTCTTGATCTCAACCTTGAATCTGAAGCGCGCGCTACTCTGATCCTCGTCGGCATCCTTCTTGCCATTCTGGTCCTCTCTGCTGTTATTGCCTTCAATAGACATCCTATTTTTCGGTTCTTCCGACGCGCATTGTGCCTGGCCAGACGCGATCCAAATCAGGCTGACACGAAGGTATGTATGGGCCTGTATTAAAACTCTGCTTGAATTAGTATCTCACTGTATTATTTGTCTAGGGAAAAGGGTCAGAGAACCAACCGCCTACTTCCTCCTCTCACGACGACATGCCCATCTCCGATTCTCCACGCGAAGACAGACCCTCCTTCGTCCACCGCATGCCCAACTTCTTCAGCCCAATCCGGAAACACTCCTCGACCCCGCGCTACTCCAGCGTGAACCTCTACCGCGGGGTCCGGGGCCTGCACACCCCGCCTCCTGCCCGGCTCGCGCCCTCCTACCAGCCCCCCATGTCGCCCCCCGACGCCTACTCCGGCGCCGGCGTCACGCCGCACATCGCCGGCTGGATGGCGGTGGCTGACGCCGTCGTCGGCGCGCACCCGCACGCGCGCCCGCTGCACACGCGCGTCGCCACCAAGGCCGAGATCGAGATGATCTCCGGGCACGTCCACATCCCGTGGGCGTACAAGGTCGACGGCCGGCCGGCGCCCGTCGCCGTCAAGGTGCAGGTGCCCGACGTGGTGTACCCGGTCCTCCCTGCGCAGCCCGGGATGCTCAGAGACGTCGGCAACGTCCGTGGCGCTGGGCGGGACGCCGTCGCTGGGGATGCTGAGAGCGAAGGTGGCGCGCAGGTCGGAAGAAGGCCTACGAAGACGAAGTCTACGCATCGTACGCGTGGCAAAGAAAATGTCCCGGTCACCAGCCTGCCCCCCTCCTTTACCAGAGGTCGCTTCTAGCTATGTGTTCCAACGATGACAATCCCTTCTCCGAGTTCATTCCTTTTTACAGAAACCTATCGCCGTTTCTTTTTGCTGCAGCTGGAGATGATACCCAAACCTTATTTATCACCATCTTCAGCCTGACACTTTTCCCTAATATCCGTCATATCGATAATCGTGCTGCATCCGACCAGTCTAAATATACTCTCCACAATCATTTAATTACCAACCCATTCTCAAATGGAGAAGTGCATGGCATGAGGTTTACATTTAACCGTTCGCTCTCACCCAGCAAGTACGTCATCTGGCGTTTCTGCTTCTCATATACGTAGAAGTAGGAAGTGGAGACGCTGAAAGGGAATCTGTCAGCGACATGGCTGTGCATTCGGACTCGAATACCAGCCAATGGCCGCGCTACTTTCCTGATATCGGGCCGATGGCATGGCAAGCCGCAAATATTCTGGAGGCTATAGCTTATATGCACAGATATATAGCGCTATGTGCCGTGGCCCGTGTACGGAAAAAAAGCTACTGTATATCTTTGATGATGATCGGTTTCCCACTCCCCTCATTATTACACTAACTGTCCAGCGAATGGGCTCCTTGCCAGAGCTGAAGCCGGTTCTTGCTTCGTCTGTTTTAGGCTCATGCACACGAATGCGGTCATTTGATGCGCACATATGAGCGCGAACGATTCGTAAATAAGTACCATTTGTTATGCGGTCTCTATAATCTATCGCGGTAACATTTGCAATCGCGCACGCAGAAAATCCATTGCCCATTCGAGTTAAAACAGCATCGACCGACGACAGCGCATCCTGAAAAAGATCAGCCACTTCCCCCCCACTTCCCTCCTTCCAGCCGAACTTGTGTGCGCCTCTATTTCTTCTCGTCTATTTTTTAAATTACATTTATGTTAGCTGCCATTCTATTTTCAGCAATTATGACCGCCGACGGGACGGCGCCATGATCCACACATCGTGGCCATCTCTGCCCTGCAAGGTATTTTCGTATTCTGCAAAAAGCCACTCACCTCCGTCCGTCCGTCAGGTACCCCCTTCTTTCCCACAACACGCGCTTAGGCCCAATAATCGCTTCTTAAACGTTGTGCGTCCTTTTCGCTGCGCCCGGCCTTGCCTTTTAAACCTGCGCCTCGCCGTCACCGTCGTCGCTCCCCTTCACCCCCCACCCGAAGGCCTCCAGGGGACCATGGGCGATCACGATCAGGCGGAATACCAGATCCCTGCGATCCTCTCGCTGCACCGCCGTCTAAAACCTACCCGTAAGCCGCCGTTTGTTCGTCGCTCACCGCCTGATTGCGCGGCACGGCGTGTATATTTTTGTGCGCGGTCCATGCTGACGACACTCGGCCGTAGAGATACCCCCGGATGACGTCCTCATCAAGCACGCGGAGGGCATCCTGGCGGCGTCCGCGGCGTGGCAGGAGGGCAAGGCCTTCCGGAACCGCGTCCGCACGTACGTCTGGGACGAGCCGCAGCGGGAGCAGCCCGGACACCGCGCGGGCAAAAATAAGACGCAGCGCTGGTACTGCCTGGTGGCGCAGATCCAGAAGGACGACATCTCATTCGACAAGTTATGGTCGAAGCTGGGCAAAAACCAGGTGTGGCATCAGAAAAGGTAGGGCGCGCGCTGCTCACTCATGCATGTTGGAGGTAGACCGCTGATTTCTGGTGCGCGCGCTGCAGCCATCTCGCTGCGCTGGCGAAGGTGACGCGCATCCAGTATATCTCCGAGCAGCATTCGCTCTGGACGACGCTGATCACCTCGTCGCCGCCGTTATCGCCCCGTGTGTATACGATATACCAGGCCTCGTTCCTGCTCGAATATTCCCATAACCGACGCGGGTAAGTGAGGTTGATGCTTGGGGGTTAGCCTCGAAGGTTAGAGGCCCAGTGACTGAGATATATCCCTGCCACAGGATAGTCGTCACGCTGCCCATCGACCTCACCTCGCGGAGCAGCGAGGACCTCGCCGGGCTGGAGGAGAGTGGCACCCGCGGGCGTTATCTGTCGGTTGAGCACGTTCAGGAAATAGACGGCGGCGCTATCGAGTGGCGGAAGGTGGCCTGTAGGGATCCAGGCGGTATGATCCCGAAGTTTTGGGTGCAGAGGCATATGGCGCAGGTGATGGCAGAGGTGAGTGTGGTTGTTCTTTCCTCTGGAGATTTGACAAGCCTTTCCTTTTTACACAGGAGAATATTTCTTTCCTTGAGTGGATAGAGAAGATTGCAGAGGAGGACGCCCACGACAGCGTAGAAGAGCTCGGCTGAGGGTTCAGACGCAGTATATCGACCGCCCAGAGGTGTGCAAACCATCAAACTTCGGAGAACGCCTCTGGTAGAAACACAAGAATTTAGAATGGATCATCTTGTCAGAAGGATCGTCACCAATATGTTGCGTGCCATGTACGAATATTCGCGAGCTGAATTTCAGCATAATATGTAAAACAAAGTGTATTTGCAGAAACAATAGATCCTAGACAGCGCCGTTTTCAACGAGTTTGCCGCAGATTATGTACTTGTTAGAGAAATGATCAATCCAGCCTGTCAAAAACAATACGCCAGTTAGATAAATACTACATGAAGAAAATGTATCAAAGAGACGGACCTTTCATATTGTCACTGAGACGACGTCCGAAATGCCATTTCGATAAGCAGTTGTTCATACGACTTAGGAACTCCAACTCACATTTCATCCTGCTTCAGGTCATCGAGCTTGTCTAATGGTTGGTCCACGGGGGTCAGCATATCTGTAAATCAACATGAGGGTCTAAATAGGGCAGGATTGAGATGATGCAATAAGAGCGTACCGATGTCGAACGATTGTTTAGCCATTCCCCGAGATGCATCGCGGCCAGCAAAATTGCCATACATCCCATCTGTCTGCGCATAAGCTCAATAAATCACGAAGATAATGCATGGAACGCACCAGGTCCGTAGAAGTTCCTCCCCGCCGTTACATCGAACACAGTCCCATTGATAGCAAGCAATATCCGCTCATTGTCACGTCCGTTGAATGGCTCGAGTGTTGTGGGAGTATAGATCTTGAAAAGAACAGACGGTTGGTGTGCTTTGGGCAGCCAAGAGTATCCTGCCTTGAATTCGTTTGGAATGGTAGCTGGTTTGGACTTTGAGGGGAATATGATACGCTGGACCGAGTATAGGATGTACAGGAAGAGAGCAGTGTTTATGGGCGTCCCCAGATTCAGAGAGAGAGCCATGGGAGATTCGGAGCGCAGTAAAATACAGTTGTTGGAAGTTAACGAAGGGCCGACTGGGAGTGTAGTAGACTTGTTACTCAGCCCGGCCGCCACGCGTAATCCCCAGTCACGTAAAGCGTAGGCAAGCTCAGTAATGTTTTAAAGGCACAGTCCATATCGGCCTTATGGTCTAGTAGCATGATTCCTCCTTTGGGTGTCTACCTAACTGGAGGAGGTCCTGGGTTCAACTCCCAGTGAGGCCCCATTTTTTGTTCCTTTTCTTTTTCTCGTATTTCCTGAAGAGCATTGGTCTCTTGAGTCTTGATATTATGATAACAGACAGTCAGACTACAGTACCCAATAGTGCAACCCGCCTGCGTACCTTGGGTTCAATTCCTAATGTTTTTGCTTTGTTTTTTTTTGCTTACCCTTTCTTGCGTCGCACGAACACTGTGAACCCTAAGACCAGGAATTTTTCTCGGTCTGTAAACCCGTCCGTCAAGAATTTTATTCTGGCCTAGACATCGTACCGATTTCGAGATGTCTAGTATTTAATATTTACTACCAGTCTTATCCTCCCTTTTAATGGACTCAAAATGGAGTGTGTGGCCTAGCATGTACATACACAACCGGGCTGCGCTATTAAGTACGGTTAGATTCTGGGCCCAATCACCCAGGCTTAATATCAAATCACCCAGGCTTAAAAATCAAGGGCTTAAGCAGAGTCTATTCTGGTCGCACTCAACCTCAGCACAAAATATTATGCACCTGGGATAAGTCGTTCTCACACTCAATGGGGATTATTCCAAATCCAGAATATGTTCGGGACCTCATTCCTCCCCCTTCGGGTCGTTTCGGCGCATCGAAATTGCCCATTGCCCGGGGGTGTCCTTGATGATGCTCGTACTTTGCAGGCAGTAAAGAAGGAAAGAAAACATATATTGCATATACTCTACACCTACAAGATATATAATTATTGGAACAAATACCTGCCATGCTTCCGAATGCCCCATTCCAACCCAAATCACTCCCATCTTGAATCCTGATCCATGCCATCAATAAAGTGTGAGATGAGCTAAAAGAAACTTGAAAGAAACCAATGATTGTGTGAGCTTACAATAGGGGACCCACAGGATACTATGACATACCTTGAACTTGTGATGAGATGCAAGGGTTATAGAAAGGACTCAAAAAACAGAAAATACAAGCTAGACGATATGTGCCATTCAACATGGTTCCCACAAACCGGGAATATGCAGCAAGAGCAATCACAGATCTTCTACACGGACACATGTCCGTGCCACAACAGTGTGGAATCAATATGACAGAAAAAAGAAGAGGGGAGAGGGAGGGAGGGAGGGAGGGAAGGAAGAGTCAGTGGTGGGTTGAAAGACGCAGACAAGGTGACGCAAAATTTGTGCATCGCATGACCTTCAAAAGGTTTTGCCAAACAATGCCAAATCAATATCTCGTTCAACCACTGCACGCCGCACAAAATCAAGCAAAGTCAATGCTCTTGAGTCGAGTTCATCTGTTGTGGCACACATACTGAACAGTGAACAGAATTGACATTTAATTGCTAATTAACATTACTGAATAAAATCTAATATCTATTTGAACGATTAAACAAGGTAGCAGGCTGAGCAGATTGCAGGATTGCATTCACAAAGCTGGGTGCCTGGGCAGATGTAGATGAGGTGGAGGAAGGAGAGGAAGAATGCTCTTGATGAGAGGGGTTAGAGGTTTGGGACACACCCCGGTTGGGTACTTGCCATAACTCAGATGATGATGAAGGTGACAAGTCACCCAGACCAGGAGTAAATGCTAGGACCGATTCATTTACACCTCCTCGTGATTGGGACTGGATGAATGCTTGATACCAAGCATTGTCCAAACGAATAGAGGTGTCAATGTAGCTGCCAACAAAGACACATTAGAAAAGGTCATTGAAACTGAAGTCAGCAGTGCCCGAAACACACCTTCGCCATGCTTCACTCGCAAAATCTTCCCCTCATTGCTCGATTCCCTCCTTGAACCAAAGATCCACCTTTGACCAAAAATCTGTACCTTCAGGGATACGGCCCTTTTGCTTTTGAACTCGTTTGCGCTTTGATGGATGTTCCGTGTCATCTGAACCATCTTCTGGTGCGTCGGGATCCTCGCTGGCATCGATTCCAAAGACAGTTTGATGGTCAATACAAAATCGCCGCTAGTCAAGAGTCAAACAATAGAACTGAATATAAACATGTTTTACGACGCACCAATAAGACATTATGGACCAGATATCCTTGGGTTGAAGCAGTGGCCATGGTTCCATGGCGATATTTCTCCGCTGACTCGGCTGTGAACTTCTCGAGCGAAGTTTGCTTGGGGCCTATTACACTATCTCGAAGCTGACAAATTAATGAGCACTCAGATGGTATGAGAATAGAGAGAAGGGCCCTCACATCTTGTCTGAAAGCGTTGCGTACACTCGAGGTGATCTTCTTCAAGTCAGAGACCCACTTGCTTTCACGTGCAGGCACCGCAAATATGTTGTCCAGACGATAAGCCACTGCATTTTTGCGCATTACTTTCTGTTACAGATTCTCTAGTTATGAGCAGCAAATATGGAAGGATAGATTTACTCACATCAACCTCAATATGGATGTTTTTAAATGATACTCGTCGTGGCTGATAGATCATCTCTTGGCAGATACGCCGCACGGTAATCTATAGTCAGAAAAGGAGTATAAAAGAGTATACTTGGTTGAGTTGTGCTTAGGACATACCGTTTGCTCACTTGTTAACTGAAAATTGGCATCCAGTCGTATTGTGAGCTCATCCAAAATACGCTTCAGATCTCCTCCAACAGCATTTGAAGTGTTTCCGGTGGCTGACTGAATGGCTTGGGTGATGTTCTGTTCGACACTGAACTGGCAGGCCACTGCGAACACTCGGGTCCATAGATCGGCCGTTGTTAGGCTTCCATCCAGAGAAGAACCAAGCTGCCAATGAAGGGTGATGATCAATGTTGGATCAATGTATATCAAAGGATCGAGATAAAAGTGAAGAAACATACCTTGTACAAGGCGGTCAAATGTGAGATGCGTATCGGCCCCAGTCCAAATTCCTTTGAAACATTATCTATAAAGAGCATGCCAGGGTCAACAGATGCGTCTGGTGTGTACGATGTGGCCGGAGTAGTGTTTTGAAGTCCGGTCCGGTCCGGTTTTTCGCCCCAAATGGCTTGGACCGAGACCGAGACCGGTCTTCGATTTGTCCCAACCCCCCAAAAACCGGACCGAACCGATGTGGACCGGTCCTGAACGGCCTTGCACGGTCCAAAGACCGGTCAAGACCGGTTCCGGTTTAGACTGGTCAAGACCAGTGTGGGACTGGTCCAGACCGGTCTTGCGAGCAGCACCAGGCGGCATCTCAGCGTCTCCATGCCGCAGGTACTGCAATATTGCAGTGCCCTTGTGCATGTAGACGGTGTGGTGTCCCCGGTGCACTTGCACTGTGCCACCGCCATCGCCATGTCCGCCGCATCGTCATGTCCGCCGCCACTGCCGCCGTCGTCATCGAGTCACCGCCGCCCGTAGGCGAGGGTTCGCGGGTACGCTGCCAGCCCAACCCTCGCGTCTCCACGACACAAAACAGTACAAATGTACTGTTTTGCGTACATCTAGACGGTAGGGGCCGCTCGAAACCCGCCTCGCCGCCGTTGGGCGCCAGCGCGGCGCTAGCTCCCGAGTGGACGACACTGTCGAGAGCTGGCGCGACGAGCTCGAGGCTCACACATGCCAGCTTCAGGACCAGCTTGACACCGCACGCGAGGCCCCCGGCGGCCTGCCCTTGCTGCCGTCGTAGATCCTGACCGTGTTGTCGCGGAGCGATCCCGCGTGAGCGGCAACGATCCACGCGGATGAGAGCTGGGCCGCATGGCCTACTCACTCTGAGTTGTCCATGTGCTCGCTGTGATGACGTGGCAGTGCGGACGGGCGCGTTGTGCGCCTTCGAGGGCCCTCGGTCGAGCGGGGATGGCACAGGACTTGACTCGAGCACGCCGCCTCGGCGTGGCGACGCCCAGGAGGCGGCTGTCCCGCAGAGGCATGCTATTGGGGGGGGAACGGTGTTAGTGGGGCACATCGGACAGTGCAGGTGACGCACTTGGCGGCTCTCCCACTTCATGGGTCTGCCCTTGGTGTCCACCTCCCCTGTTCCGTCGTCGCGCGCGATTGAACAGCGCATCGTGATTCGTGGCTGTACAGGAGGGGCGAGGCGGGCGTTGTGGTGGCTGGTGGTGGTGAGAGTTCAAGCCATCAACCGTGGTAACCACGGTTGATGGCCATTTCGGCGAACGCCGGAAGCTGTGCGCGGAAATGTTTTCAAATCTAGACTGGAAATAATGTGATAAGTACGATTATTGAATAGAAAATAAGGCACTCACTAAGGAAAGTAAAAGACCGGTTAAGACTGGTAAGACCGGTCTTTGGCCGGTCTTGAGTTTTCGAAAATGCTGATGGACCGAAGACCGGACCGCGGTTACAGTCTTGATCGGTCTTCGGAATTTCCGGTCTTGATCGGTTACGGTCCGGTCCAGTCCCGGTTTTTGGCTAGTCTTGTAACCGGACCTTCAAACACTAGGCCGGAGGTGGTGCCAAAGTCTGAGTACTGAATATGTCTTCTGGGTTATCCATTGAAGCAGCCTCAGGCGATGACCCAGAGCTATAGTCATAAGAGAAGTTTGTAGAGGACATAGAATTCAAGTGGAAGATGAGGGAGCGCTCACTTTGGGTGCACTCAGGCTTTTATAATCTGGAGGACGGCCAAAACTGACATAAATAACGCATCGCGTCGCGTCGCGCTATCTGAGTCACATCTATCTTTGTTGAACTGGATAAACAAACAGAATGATGTGCTGAGGCGGAACAGCAAGGCTGACCACAGGGCGGAACAGGGAGTCTGCCGTGAAATGTATAAGAGGGCGGGGTGGAAAGAGGTTCAACCCTCTTTCCCCCTCCGCCGCACTGATGTCATCAGATTCGGAGTTTGAAATGACTCAGCACACATTGGTCGGACATTCACCTTCAAGTCCCAAACGACGCAAAACCAGCTTGCATCCACTGCCTAACACCACAAGCATTGACATTCCAGCGTATGTTCTCTTCAATTTTCTATGCTATTGTTGATCCAAATATTATATAGGTTGTTTGCACCAGGTGGAAGCCTTGATTCGCAAACTACCGATTCTCAGTGGGCCGAAATTCACTGCGAAGCA